TGACGATAACCGAGTTAACGGAAACAATTGGCGGTACTCAAGTTGACGATAACCGAGTTGACGAAAACAGTTGACGATAACAGAGTTGACGAAAACAGTTGACGATAACAGAGTTGACGATAACAGAGTTGACGATAACAGAGTTGACGATAACAGAGTTGACGAAAACAGTTGACGATAACAGAGTTGACGAAAACCGAGTTGACGGTAATCAAGTTGACGATAACCGAGTTGTGACGGTAATCAAGTTGACGATAACCGAGTTGACGAAAACAGTTGACGATAATCAAGTTGACGATAACCAAGTTGACGAAAACAGTTGACGGTAATCAAGTTGACGATAACCGAGTTGACGAAAACAGTTGACGGTAATCAAGTTGACGATAACCGAGTTGACGAAAACAGAAATGCTGACAAAAACAGTTGACGGTAATCAAGTTGACGATAACGAAGTTGATAGAAACAGTTGACGGTAATCAAGTTGACGAAAACAGTTGACGGTAATCAAGTTGACGATAACAGAGTTGACGATAACCGAGTTGACGAAAACAGTTGACGGTAACCGAGTTGACGATAACCGAGTTGACGATAACAGTTGACGGTAATCAAGTTGACGATAACAGAGTTGACGAAAACAGTTGACGGTAATCAAGTTGACGATAACCGAGTTGACGAAAACAGTTGACGGTAATCAAGTTGACGATAACCGAGTTGACGAAAACAGTTGACTGTAATCAAGTTGACGATAACGAAGTTGATAGAAACAGTTGGTGGTTACTGTGTTGACGATAACAGTTGACGGTAATAGAGTCGACGATAACGACGTTGACAAAAACAGTTGGCGAAATGTGAAGTATGACAGTACAGAGTCGACACATCATTGATCTACTATTGTTGAATCCTAAACATTATGAGAGAAGTATAATGACACCTCAGTGCCTTCCAGAGTTTCCTGCCACAGGAAGTGACATCGCTTGTAGCAAGTCACATGCTTTTCTCTTAGTGCTTCCCAGATTAATCTGCCGTTTTATAACTGATGTACCAGAGTTGAGCTGAACGCAGACACACACACGCGCACACACACACATATACACACACACATGCGCACACACACACATGCGCACACACACACATATACACACACATGCGCACAAACACACACACACACACTACATGTGTTTTTATGACTGAATGACAGATAATACTGGAGACAGAGTTTCATGCTAATGTTTATAGAAATCAGCAGCGTAAACACACATACTGTGCACAAGCCATGCACACACACACACACACACACACACACACACACACACACTGTACCTGCAACTCTGGAATCAGCCAGGTACACGTGCAGATAAGACAAGCAGCACACCTCCATCAGCACTGAAGCAGAGGAGGGCTTCATTCTTTACATACGACCTTCACAGAGGTGTGTGTGTGTGTGTGTGTGTGTGTGTGTGGGTGTGTGCGTGTTTGTGTGTGTGTGATTGTGGTTGTGTTTGTTTGTTTGTGTGTGTGTGGGTGCGTGTTTGTGTTTGTGTGTGTTTATGTGTATGCGTGCGTGTGTGTGTGTGTGTGTGTGTGTGTGTGTGTTTAGGGGAGCTGAAGCGTCTGCGTGCTGAAAGAGAGCAGGTCGTGTGTGAGATGGAGAAGCAGAAGGAGGCTCTGAAAGATGCGCTGTCAGCCGTGCAGCAGGAGGCGCAGCGAGCCCAGCGCACCGCCCTGTCTGACCACCAGGAGGAGCTGCAGCGGCTGGCCAATCAGAAGGTCAGCCGACACCTGACTGATGAAACGTTAGGAATCATGAGGCGTTGAGCTGTCTGACTGACCCTGTGAGTCCTGCAGGAGGCGCTGCGCTGCAGTCTGGAGGCCGAGCACCAGGGGGCGCTGCGGCGGCTGCAGGAGCACCAGGAGGAGCAGAGAAGCCGGCTGCAGGAGGAGCGAGACCGGCTGCAGGAGGAGCTTCGGTGTCTGCAGCGCGACTGCGACCAGAGACTCCTACAGGCGGAGACAGACAAACAGCAGGTCAGAGTCGCGCTGGAAGCTCGTGTGTAGAGTTAACATGCAGAACAGCAGATACATTTCAAAACTGCTCTATTCATTTTCCTGAACTGGACCAGTACACAACAAACCTGTCATTCACAGTAGACTGGGTCCAGGGCTAAATGTGACAGGGAACATTTGATTCTGTTTCAATTTAATTGTTGTTTAAATGAATGTTAAACTCTTTAAATGGTAACAGAAGTGATGACAGTAAAAGAGGGGACTAGAACAGAATTGACAATAATGACGATAACCGAGTTGACTACAATAACAGCTGACTACGTAACTGAGTTGATGACGGTAACAGAGTTGACGATAACAGAGTTGACTACAGTAACTGAGTTGACGACGGTAACTGAATTGACGATAACAGAGTTGACTACAGTAACTGAGTTGACGACGGTAACTGAATTGACGATAACAGAGTTGACTACAGTAACTGAGTTGACGACGGTAACTGAATTGACGATAATAGAGTTGACTACAGTAACTGAATTGACGATAATAGAGTTGACTACAGTAACTGAGTTGACGACGGTAACAGAATTGACGATAATAGAGTTGACTACAGTAACTGAATTGACGATAATAGAGTTGACTACAGTAACTGAGTTGACGACGGTAACAGAACTGACGATAACAGAGTTGACGACAGTAACTGAATTGATGATAATAGAGTTGACTACAGTAACTGAATTGAAGATAACAGAGTTGACTACAGTAACTGAGTTGACGACGGTAACAGAACTGACGATAACAGAGTTGACTACAGTAACTGAGTTGACGACGGTAACAGAATTGACGATAACGGAGTTAACGACAGTAACAGGGTTGACATTTTCCATCATGTTGTGCTTTAGCTGCAGATGCTAACCTCAAACCAGACTCCACATGACGTGCCTAAAACACAATTTTATCTATTTTCATCATATTATTGTTTATTTTAAACATCACAGTAACAGAGTCGACACATAATTAATCTATTGGTGCATTCTAAACACATGCTATATTGTATTTCTAATGATGTCCTGATGTAATGCTGTGACGTCTGGTGTTCAGGCTCTGTCTGTGAAAGACCTGGAGGCGGCGGTGCTGTCGGAGAAGCTGAGCACTCTGCAGGCGGAGCTGAGTACTGCAGCAGTGGAGCTGGAGAAGCTGAACCGAGAGACGGCGGCGTTTAAAGACCAGGAGCGGGTCAGCGCACAACCACAACAACGTTTTCCATCCAGAGTCGTAATACGCATTATTTCTATAATGTCAACATATGGCCATCTCCATATTGTGATATAACGTGACGAGAGTTTCATTCAAGTACTGAAAACGGAATGCTGGGTAGGGGGCGGGTCTGTGCATCACTTAGTCATACC